TGTTTACCGTTGAGTCAGAACCAACCCATAGCAGACCCTCCAGTGGATTTTCAGAGGCAGTCAATAACACAGGAGAAGGGTTCCCATCTTTCTCCCACTGGCCTTGAACTGTGTGCCTTTGGAATTGCAGCTCAGCTCTTTGCCATGAGGCCACCAGAGCTCAAAAGATTATATAAGACTAATAAAAAATAAAAAGCAAGAGAAAGATGGACAGTCTCTTCCTGCTCGAGTAAATGCCTTTGAAAACCAGCTAAAGGGTTAGCTGTGGGTTGAGTCTGACTTGATGGTACACAACAACAATAAAAAAGTAAAAATGTATTTGTGTTTGTTTAACTCATACCTTTCTCATAAAAGTCTAAATACTAGGCCTTTGTGTTGCCCATTTACTTTTGGAAACTAGTGAATGTGGTGTCAAAAAAGGCATAAATTAAACTCTTTGCAGCCACTTTCTGCCTATGAATTTGGTTTCATTGGTGTAGGAGCTGCATAAGTTTACAGCTTATGAAAGAAAAATATGTCTGAATACTTAGAAAATATCTCCTTATCCATGCCTTGTTGTTTATTTATTCGTTTTATTGAATCACTCATTAGATCTTTATTAAGAACTTGATCTATGCCGTTTTTTAGGTGTTTTGTACAAATATAGGAATAAAACAGGTCAAAGTCCCCATTTGCCTGGGACTTTCCTTCTAGTGAAGGGATTGATAGTACACAAAAGAAATAAGCAGATGATAGTGATGTAGAGGACACTGTGGAGAAAAGTTAGAGGAAGCAGAATGGCCACCGTGGGTGGGGGGTTTCATCTGGGAGACGGGGCATACAATGAAGGCGTGGAGGAAGAGGGGAGGGAGGGACTAAGCCATGTCTTCCCTGGGGGAGGAATATTCCCAGTAGAGACTCAGAAATCCTGAGTTGGGAGTATGTCTGGCATGTTTAGGAAGCAGCAAGGAGACTAGGATGGCAGGATGGAGTGAGGTATGGAGGGACTGAGAATGAGGGTTAGAGAAGTGACAGAGATCAGGTTTGGGTGGGCAGATGCCACAGGGCTTCCACTTTTTTTTTTTAAAGTTATTTCATTAGATAGTTTTAGTTCAGAGGTTTAAAGTTGTTTCTTAATGATAAGTTCAAGAATTCCTCCATTTTTGAAGCATCCAGCAACTCTGTTCCTCGTTTTTCCTTCCTTTTGACCAAAATCCACCTATTTAGTCCTTGGTTAAAAGTGTCAGTAGTGACAGTTTGCCACCATCTACTTCTGGTGAAGGTCCAAGGAGAGAAGTGACTTGTCCTGATCACGTCTCTAGTTAGTGGCCTCAGGCGGCTCGGGAGACTCACAGCTCCGTGGTGCCCTCTTCACTAGCATGACAGTGACTGTTTAGACACTCTTGCCAGTGAAAACATGCAGGTCATAGCTGCAGCCTCTAGTTAGAGAGGGGATAAGACTGTTGAGCATTCGTTGCAGTGAGCCCAGTAGTATACCTTTCTCTGAAAAGCTGGGGAAAGACATCTTGCTGGGCTGGCCATGTGAGGCGCATTCCTGCCCACAGCAGGGTCCCTGCTGTCAGAGTCGCCCTCCTTCCTTCCTGTGACAGGTGCTTCCAGGCCAGCAAGCCTTTCTGGCAGACGGGCCCTCCTGAGGGTAGCCTTTCAGTTCAGTCTTGGCAGTGTGGAAAGGTCAGCTGGGGTTCAGGGGGCAGTGCGGCCTTGGCCGTGTGCTCCGGTTATAGCCCAGGTGGCGGGCAGCCCTCGTCTCACCTGCCCCCTGCATCAGCAGCTTCCTTGCCCAAGACAGCCCCAAGCCCTCCAGGCCCTGCAAGGTCAGCAGGACAGGGTAAGCTGGCAGACGCTGTGCCCTCTGGCTTCTGAGACCCAGCTATTTCCAGGTGCAGCAAGGTGATGGATCGCAGCTCTGATTAACAGTCCCTCCCCACCCCATTGTCTTGTCTTTGTTCTAATCCCACCCACTGGTTCGGGGCCAGCTGAAGGCTCATCTGTCTCTGAGCCTGAACTGACCCCTCTGAATACATTGCGTGTTTTCTGTCTGTAGCACACATTGGACTCTGGGGGCCCGTGTCCTGCCTCCGCTAGGTGGTGAGGTCTTTCAAAGCCAAACCCCATTGCCGTGGAGTTTGTTCTAATACATGACAGCCGCGTTTAGAATCTGCTCCATTGGATTTTCTTGACTCTGACCTGTATGAAGCAGATTGCCAGGCCTTTCTTCCATGCTGCATCTGGGTAGGTAGATTTAAACAGCCAGCATCAAGTTAGTTCAACAGAAACTCAAACTCATTGCTATTGAGTTGGGAACTCATAGCTGACATTCTAGTAGGATTTCAGAGGCTGTAAATCACACAGGAAGAGATTGCACATCTTTCTATCCTCAGAGCAGCTGGTGGATTTGAACTGGTTGCCTTTGGGTTGGCAGTGAAATTCCTTACCTAACAGGCCACCAGAGCTGTTTTCAAGTTAACACAGCTTAAACAGTTTGCACCACCCAGGGACCTTTCTTTGAAAGCAGTAAGCCTTTTAATAATCTTCTTTACAGTAAGATGTGGTGTGACTCTGGTGTGTTCCCCGAGCTCTCACACAGCATCAGCATCGAGAAGGCAGGGCACAGAGTAGACACTCCTGATCTGAGCTGAGGACCCTCCCTCCTCTCTGGGTACCAGAGTATCTCAGTGTTTACTTCCCACTTCAGCCTGCTGCCTGCAGACAGGACAAGGCATCTCATCCATTTAGTAGATGGTGAAGAGTTGCCTTGGAGAAGGCTGAGGTCTTCTTCAGAGCCTGCACAGAAGCGATGAGCTGTCCAGCTACCGTGGGTGAAGGGGTGCAGGTGTCTAAAAAATGGGACGAGGAGCCATGCCTGAGGGCGAGGAAGACTCCAAGAGGCTCATGGCCCTGTCACTTCTTGATCTCCAGCTACCAGTCTCCCCAGTAAGGCTGCATCTTCTTCTTGCTGCTGGTGAGCCCTGTGGTCCCAGGAAGGCAGATGGGAACCTCCAGCATCCTCACCTGCAGAACTCCTCAGAAAAGAACCTTTAAACTGCCTTACTTCCTGCCACGAGCCTTTATTTGGTTTGATGGAGGAACGCCCTGCGTGAGGCAGGAGGGTTTGTGCTTTATCCAGGGCTTTCCTTTGACGTGACAGAAAATGATACGAGAATGATTCCTTTATCTGGAATGAGAGGCAAGGGGCCAGCTTGGACAGCACACTGTGAGTTCAAGAGTCTCACTCATGGCCATTTTCCTTCACATTGGCTCAGAAACCCTCGTGAGGCAATTCATCTGATGCCCTGGCCTACCTTGGAGGGAAGCTTGAAGCTAAGTGTTGGAGGTCGAGGCCCTTTCCTCAGGAGGAATACACTCCGGTGTTTTCTCTCTTGAAATAAAGCTCACAGTAAGGAAGCACAGTGGTCCACGGGAACTCTGTAAGAGCACGTGGCTGCTCCAGGTCCGCAAGGTGCTCTTTGTAAATGCACGTTTAGTGTGCTTTGCAACAGCAAAAAATTAGAGACAGTTACATTACCATCATTTAGTGGACTGGTTTGGCACTTTACCATAGGTTTTGTATGTCCCTATTGTGGAAGACACCAGAATGGTTTTCAAAATATTGAAGCAGGCCAATGTGAATTAACAGAGAAAGGCACCCAGGGTATTTAAATGGAAAGGTAGTCACAACGCAGTGGTCTCATTACATATGTATACAGATGCGCAGTTGCACAATGGCCGTTCATTGGGGCAACTTTCCAGTGTATGTGTCTGTGGTACCATATGGCTATAATAAAAACTCAAATTCATTACCATCGATTAGAACCAACCCATAGCTGACCCTTCAGCAGGTTTCCATGGCTATAAATCATGTGAGAGGAAGAGGCCCATTTTTCTCTCTGTGAGCAGCTGGTGGGCTCGCACCTCCAGAGAGGCATGGGCTACACCACCAGAGCTCCATGTGGTTATAAGAGAGTTCAGAAATCCACATTGAAATATGAATAACCAGTGTGATTTCCAAATGTTCATTCAAAAAAAATAATTTGGAGGTAGAAAAAAAATCCCCATTGGAGAACAGACACTCTTGGCTAAGTGCTGGAGATTCTGTCTCTCACTGGTTCTCCAAGTCTCATGCCTGGCCCTGCCCTCGTGTGGGGAGGGGATCCTGGCCCCTGTCTGCAGCTGTCTGTCCTTCTGTGCTGGTCTTGGGCAGGTGTCTGCTCTGATTCATGGGGACCTGTATGTATCAGAGTACAGCTGGTTTTCATGAGGTGTTCCCCCACCTTTTGTCTCTTTAATCTTGAGAAGCATAGCCTTTAGGTTGGCAGTGAAACTCCCAATGGAGTAGGCCTCCAGAGCGCCCCATAACTAGGTCTCCAAAGCTCCCCATATATCCTTTAAAACATGTACTAATCAAATAGTTTCCACATATTCTTCTTTATGCATTTCTAACTAATATATGCTATTATAATCTTAGATTTGTATCAGGCCATTCTTACCTTCTTTTTCTGAATTGTTACTCCTTCATTAACGTAAGATCATTGCCCGCTAAGGTTCCTGTCTGATCTTGGGTGTTTATCCCGTGGACTGCCAAAAGAACAAATATGATTTCACGAAAGTGCAACCAGAGTGCCCCTTGAATGCAAAGATAGTCAAACTGAATCTCAGTTAACTTTGGCATTAGTTAGGAGGGGCTGGTTCTTGGAAAAGAACATCATGCTTGGAAAGGTCAGTGTAAGAGAGGAAGACTTTGAGTGAAATGGATTGACATTATGTAACAGTGAGCTTCAGGACATCGGAGAGGTGAGAATGGCACAGGACAGGGCAAGGTTCAGATTTGTTCTTGGGGCTGCTGTGAGTAGTAACTGACTTCACAGCACATAACAACATTGCCTATTTGATTTCATATAGATCATTTTTTCTATAGATAATTTTTAAAGAACATAAAGTTCAAATGTACCCCTAGTCTTTTGCCTTGCTCCCCACTGAGAGCTGTTGGTGTCTCCCTGCAGGTCGGAATGAGCTGATTGCCCGCTACATCAAGCTCCGAACTGGGAAAACCCGTACCAGGAAGCAGGTGGGCCTGTGGGTGGGCAAGGCCTTAGGAACAGGTGCTCCGGGCCAAGCATGGGTTCTTGGGTGACTTATCTCTGGTATTCCACAGATGTTCCACCACCCTGGGTCCCTCCCACCATCACTTAAGACCTTTCACCTTGCTAAAGCCAACAGCCCCATCCTCTCCAGGGCACCGGAATAGAGAGCAAAGCTTTGGCACTACACTTCTGAACGATTGCTCTACTGTGGGTTCTCTGAACAAAGCAGGACTGAAGGCCCACCATCCATTCATTCAGTCCACAGATGTGGGTGGAGGATTGTGGAGGTTGAGGGAGTGGGTCAGCCAGGATGGGGAGCACGGGCAGTCCAGAAGATAGATCTGAGCCTTCTTCCCTGTGCTGCAGGTCTCCAGCCACATCCAGGTGCTGGCTCGTCGCAAAGCCAGAGAGATCCAGGCTAAGCTGAAGGTAAGCAGATGTCAGCAGTGGGAGAGAGGGGCCTGGGCAGTGGTGAGGCAAGAATTCCAGAAGCAGGGACTCTTTTCTCAGCAGGAAGAAGGCTTCCCTTTAGGTGCAGGGGCTGGCTGGTGGTGAGCGGAATCAAGTTCAGCGGGGATGCCTTACCTTGGAGCCATGTGTATAACTGCCAGGCTCCCTAGCACCCTGGGGACTGCAGGCCAGTCTCCTGTTGGCCCCCACGGGCTCTAGTCCACTGCCTTGAGTCACATGGGTCACCTTCGAGCCCCTGTTCCTTGATCGCTTCTGTGAGAGCTTCTGGCCCTCTTGAGAGCCCTATGGTGTCCTCATCCAGGGCCTGTGAGGCTGGTAGCCGCTCCCATGGTATGGGGTGTGGTGGTGTAGGAGTTGATGGAATTCCTTCAGCTCCTTGCTCTCTAGGGCTGGCATGCTTCTCCACTCATTAAAGAGGACTGTGCTTTAGCAAGTCTGTGCTCTAGGGGTTCCTTAGAGGGTGGCCTGCCCCCCATAGCAGCCAGGCCTCTTAGATCCTAGAGTTTGGGGCCATTCTGGTAAGCACTCTGTGGGAGTGAATTCCCCATCAGGGAGGCGTTAACAGCTGCCAGCACAGCTCCTTGGAAGGAGCTTTAGGCTAGATCAGTAGTTTGCATACTTTTTTTTTAAATGCAACCGTGGCCCTTTGACACCATCCCTCCTCAAACAGTATTCCCTGGTAAAAGCTCAGTTGGTGAGGATAAGGCCAGAGACCCCTCTCCCATTCCCCTTCCAGTACCCTGTTGCACCTCAGAACCCAGTTTTAGAGCCACTGGACTAGGTGACCTGTAAGGCCCTATTTCTGTGATCTTGATGCTGAAGGCCCACAACGAGTGGGTGGGTACACCAGACTCTTCTGCCTCATAGGAAGCCGCACCCCGTGCCCACAGTCCAGCTGTCCCGCCTCTCCCAGCTGCAGCTTGCAGGTCGCTCCTTTGTTCTGTGACAGCTGGCTGGGCTGCAGCTGTCGGGCGCTCCCTATCAGGCTGGCACATGGACCCAGGACACCACTGACCCAGCCCGCTTGCCCCCTTCTCCTTGTGTTTGGTCCTCTCTGACTCCTAGAGGCTGTAGCAGGTGGCCAGTGTGGAGCACAGGCGTCCAGGATTCTTTTCAGAGCCCATAGGGGACATTCTAACAAGCAGCCCACAGTGGCTTCAAGGAATCACACCTGTTGTTGTCCACAGGTTCTAAACCAGAGCCCAAGGACAGATTCAGTGGATTGTTGGCCAGGCATCAGGAGAGCCAGGAGCTCCTCAAATGATATGTCTGAGTTCATGTGTATGTGCGTTTTGTTGGGGAAGCTAATATGTTACAAAAGCCTCTACACTTAAGATCCTAAGTAGTTAGGCTCCCTGGATGCTCATGACGTCAAGGAGAACTCCTTGGGGTCCAGAGCTTGGATCTAGCCATGGCCCGATTCGTTTGGCTAGGATACTTGAGCCAGACGCCAGGCCTACTTGGGCTGCATTCAGCTTCCTCATCTGTAAAATGAGAGGAAGGCTAAGCAAGGTGGTCTCTGTGGTCCCTCTAGCTCCAGAGTTCTGTGGCTCCCTGGCTCTGCAGCCTGGCTGCTCGTGCCTCCCCCACAGTGTCCTTCCAGTCGCTCCTGATTCCTGTTCTCCCCCATGGAGGGGGTGTTTCCTTAGCCAGGGTCATTTGTTTAGTTTAGCTCTCCAGGAAGGGACACACGCTGCTGGCACCTACCAGCTGGAGCTCTCAGGCCTCGTCATATGGTTGCTGTGCACAGAAGCCTGCAGCGTTCTGAGGGTTCAGTCTGCCACGGCAATCTTGTCCTTCTGTGGCTATCTAGAGGGCCAGGGCCAGACTTCATCTGTTATGTGGATTTGTCCCAGTTGAGGGTCACCCCACCACTGAGTCTTCTGTGCCCTCTGTGGTGCATTCATAGGGGCTTTCAATACTGATTTGACCCCTCAGTGTCCATGGCCTCGGGGCCTCCAGAGTCATGTAAATCCAGACCAAATTCAAAGGGCTTGATATCACCACTGTCAGTATCTGAGTACCATGAGTCACCATCTGACTCATAGCTGACCAACCAGCAGGTTATCAGAAGCTGTAAATTGCGTGAGAGAAGATTGCCCCACTTTCTTCTGTGGCGCAACTGATAGGTTCAAACTGCCTGCCTTTGGGTTGACAGCACAGCTCCCTACCCACTAGATCACTGGAGCTCTCTGTACCTAAATTCTCTGAGTTCCAATTTCTTTATCTTTAAAATGGAGATCCTATTGGTTCTCTAATCACAGGAACACTATGGTATTCAGAGGTAGAGTTAGTCAGCCTATTTGAAACCTTCAGCAATCATCTTGAGGGGAGAAGGGAAGGGCCTGTTGCATTGTGGCTGCAGAGGTGGGGAGCACTGAGACCCAAGTGGACGCCAAGACTCTTCTGAGCCAAGCCTCAGGCCTCCCTCGCTGCATTCACCACCCCCACCTGAATAGCCCCTTCACAGGACTGTTCTGTGGTATGCACAAGTGCCAGTTAAACAACAGATCTCAACTTTTTTAATCATTCAAGAGTGATCTGCATCTATCAAGTTAAATAGTACTGTTAAGTAACCACTAAATTATCTCTCCATTTAATGAAATCCATCATAAAGATTCAGATTTGCTAATCACAGCTTCTGAATGAGCATAATCCAGTCACTTAGCCCCCAGAAAGCTGCACTCGTTTAATAGCATTTCCTGTTCTAGTGACCGTGTACTACTTTGTTTTGGACAAAGTCTTGATTTCTTTCATGATTTATGCAATACCATCTTGGTTTTGTTGTTTTTTTTTCTCATTTTGAAAGCTTTTGGGTTTGAGGAGCTCAGAATGAGAACTCCTGGATTACATAAATGAGAAAAGGTACAGGCATAACTCAGTTTAGGTTTCAGACCACCAGCGTGGGAAACCTCACAAACAAAAACAAACGTTTATAGCAGAAAAACAAGTCACAAGTTTTTTTGCCTCTCAGTGCATATATAGAGATTATGTTAACACTGTCCTATATATGTGCATCTTAGTGAAAATTGCCAACACCAAGATACAAAGTGAGCTAATGCTATTGGAAAAAATGGCACTGCTAGACTTGCTTGACACAAGGTTGTTGCATAACATCATAGCAAATGAGGTGTCCGAGGTACAGTAGAATGAGGTATGTCTGGGTTACTACAGTTATTACCCTCAATGCCATATCAGTGACTTCCCTACACACCTGCTTGTTCTGGTTCTGTGCAGGTGAACCCATTCTTTGGGGTTCTTAAGCACATGGAGGGCAGATTGTTCTACCTGGAAAAGTCGATGAGGCCTCTGAGTTCAGACAGTGCCAGAGGAGACCCACTGCATGGGATTGAGACAGATAAGACCCCAAGAAGTCATCTATAGTTACAAATAGTTCATCTGTCCCAGGATAATCCATCCTGCCCATTTCAGGAGGGATCCACCAAATATTTAGGCAGCGTCTGCCAGAAGCCAGATGCTGAACTGGGCACCAGTAGCACTAGTGAACAAGATCTGTTAAGCTCTAATATAATAGGCCACGCGAGTATTATACCCCTTTGACAGGTGAAGAAAGGGACCCAGAGAAAGGAAGTGATGCACTCAGTGTCAGAAAAAAAATGAATAGCATTATAAGGTGTTCAAGCCTGGCCCCCATGGCCTAGGTAGGGTCTGTCTATGGGGCAGGGGCACAGCCTCCCTAGGTCTGATATAGTGATCTCTGCTGAGGCCGTCCCTTCCAATGTCTTCCCCCAGGATCAGGCAGCTAAGGACAAGGCCCTGCAGAGCATGGCTACCATGTCGTCCGCCCAGATCATCTCCGCCACAGCCTTCCACAATAAAATGACCCTCACCCGGGGCCCAAGCTACCCAGCAGTCTCAGGGGTAAGTGGGGCCGTCAGAGCCAGAGGCCACACCAACTCTCGTCTTCTCACTTCTCTCCTTTCTGAAGCACTGGAAGCACTGGCCTGTCTAGATTGTTCTCATCTGAGTCCTCCCAGGCCAGGGTAGCCAAAGGAGGAGGGACCAAGGACCAAGTGACCTTGCTGAGTCTTGGCTCAGCTGTTATGGGAACCCCTTCTTGGGGGCTTGGCAGTAATAAAGCAAACCTTTCACAAGGAATAGAGGGGCCACCTCCATTAGCCAATCAGCTGGGTAACTCTGCAGAGTTAGTCTGATAACACAGATGAGGAAGCTGAAGTCCAGAGACCTGTGGGTTAGCACACCTCCAGCGTGTTCCCACGTAACTCTTCCAACACTCGGCCTCACTCTCCATTCTACCTGACCGGCCTGTTCTCCTTCCAGATGAATAGCTGATGTCCAGGAGCAAACCTTTGTCAGCATTTTCGATTTCTTGGCCGTGGCCATATGGGCCACCTATTCATAACGGCACCCGAAGGGCCTCTTCCTTTCCAGGGCTTTGACCACAGGGTTTTCTTAGCTTCTTGAGACTCTTGTGCACAGCTAAGATGTGTGTACAGCTCTGGGCACATGGGAAAAGAAGCCTCCCATCCAGTGTTTCCAGGGAGCACCAGTACATCGGGATGTTAAATAGAAGTGGCGCAGTGATTCATTGGCTGATGATATCTAGGGTAGCATTAGAGTTTTGTAAGTTTCTCGACTGTAGGACTTTTTGGTCTTAAGTGCTAGTCACTGTGACTCTCTAGGAGGGGAAATCCAAAACACAGTGTTTATCATGTTCAATGTTTTTTGCTCTGAGCCATTCAGAGACTGGGGTTCCTTGAAACACACGTCGGGGATGCTTTGACAGCTATGCTTAGACAATAACATTGCCTTTCACTAAGCCACAGCCTGGCTTGTCTTCCCCTTCCTCCTGCCTTCTGGACCTCAGTGTCCCCCGATGCCTGGGGCAGCAAGCTCACCGACCTCGAGTGCTCGGGGTTCCAAGTGTTCCTTTCTGCTGCTTGTCCCCACGCTGTGGGACCCATGTGCACTTGGGGAGCGTGCTGACTCTCTACCTTTTGCCTCCCCAGTTTTGGCAAGGAGCTTTGCCAAGCCAAGCCGGAACGTCCCATGAGTGAGTATTGCCTCGTCTATACTATAACTTGCTCCCTCAAGTGCACTTGAACCTGTAAACTTATGACAATAAAACTACCCGCAGGGTGGGACAGGGCCAACAGCAGTAGTCAACCTCATGTTTGGAGAGTCTGTGTCAATTGTCTTGGTTTGAGATGTGGACACACTGGATGTGTTTGCCTGAACTCCACTCTGTAGGATTCAGGCAGGCCCAGAGCTTAGGACCCCAAGGGAAAGAGTTGGGAATCGGCCTGCTGGGCCACACGGCTGCTTAGGGTGGAGGGAAAGGAACATGCTGTTCCCTGAATGATTTGACAGGAAACGAACAGTTGGCCAAAGCCCACCAGGTCACTGATGGCTGAGCCACATAAGCTTGTCACAAGGGGCCACTGGGTTCTGCCCCAAGATTTACACCTCCTCTCTCCTTTCTCTGCAGTGTGAAACCTTTCTCTCAACAAACCTACGCCGTTCAGCCTCCGCTGCCTCTCCCAGGTGGGTCAGCAGGACGTGCCTCTCCCACACCTGCTCCTTGTGGGCAGAGATCCCACTTCTCCATGTTTCCCTGTCGAGTGCTCAGACCACCCACCCATTCTCTCAGCTCCACCTTGACCTTCACCCCTAGTCCACCCCTCACCCTCTGTGCACTGCCCTCTGGCCTTCTTGTTACTGGAATTCCTGCCTTCCTTTCCAGTGTGGACATACGGCTTGCACACAGGTGAGAAGGTGGTGGCTCTGCCCTGGGCAGCTGCCCCACCCAGCTCACTGGGTGCCTCGTTTGTGTGCCCCTGTACAGCTAAGACACACTTCCTCTCACCAGTGATATACTTCTCCTTCAGGATGGGAGGTCTGAAGAGAACCCAGCTTTTCAGATTGGAGCCCCTCCCCCTCTCTAAGGAAGAGACCATTGTCCCAGAAGGAACTCTGTTGGGTTAAGGCCTCGACCACTGTGGGGGCAGAGCACTGGCTAAGGGCTCAAGGTTTAGGAAGCTGTGCCAGGAGGCGTTGGAGCACCTCTGTCACTACCCAGCAACCCAGCTGTGCCCTGGCCTCTCCTCTCTACCTCTGCTGGCTCGGGGATATTTGCATGCCTGGGTTCTGGCACCTGGCCATGTTGGGCTTTTCCTGCCTCCAGGAGTGGCTTGCTACTCCTCTAGATTCCTCAGTGCTTCTCACTCATGTGTGGAAACAGCACCAAGTACTTTCCAGGACACCCTGTCTTTTGTTCACACTCTTGGTTGGTGTTATGTGCCAGCGAGAGAGACCCTATTTACAACAGCTTGTTGTTAGGTACCTGCAGAACGACCCTATTTACAACAGCTCTGAACCCTGTCCTAAGCTATTCTCACTGACTCTGACACACCAATCACCTTTGCCCATCACTGTGTCAATTCATCTCATCTGGGGTCTTCCTCTCCTGTGCTATCCCTCTACCCTTCTAAGCATGATGTCCATCTCCAAGAACTGGCCATGTGCCCAACGTATGTGAGACAGAGCTTCAAAATCCTAAACTCCAAGGAGAATCTTGGTTTTATCCTCTCTCGGACAGAACTGTTTGTTCTCTTGGCAGTCCATGGTCTGTTCAGGACTCTTCGCCAGCACAACTCAAAGGCATCTATTCCTCTTCTGTCATCCTTAGTCATTGTCCAGCTCTCTGATGCATAGCAAGTAATTGCGAAGACTATGGCCTGGATCAGGTGCACCTTCGTATCTAGACTGACATCATTGCTTCTCACTACTATGGACAGGTCCCTGACAGCAGATTTTCCCAGTGCAATTCATCTTTTTATTTCCTGAGTGCTAGTGCCAAGAGTGTTGCTTGTAGAGCCAAGCAAGCTGTAACTGTTAACCTTAATCTCTTTGCGATCTTAATTCAAGCCTTCTATTTTACCTGATTGCTCTTAATTGGTTCCCTGACTCCAGTGGTATATTCCTTCTCCCAAAACCCCACATCTTCTGCCGAGCTGGTTCTGGCTTACAGAGAACCTGTAGAAGAGAAGAGTAGAGGGTTTCTAAGGCTGTAATCTTACAGAAACTGATTGCTCTCTCATCTCCTCTCATCGCTCTGTAGTTCATCAAAGTGATCTGTTTAAACATCAGCTTTCCCGGGTGGCTTCTCAGTATAAAATCCTTTAATGGCTCCCTGGTGTTGTCAGATAAAATCTAAACTCTGGCTCTTATCTGACTCCTGGAGGCAGTTTCTTGTTACTTACTCGTATCTGGGTGCTCGACCGCCGGGTACCGTTCACAGCGCGCGGACCCATGCGGGCGAAGTGGCTGAAGAAGTGGGTGCGAAGGCTGAAACGAAAGAGAAGGATGAGGCAGAGATCCGAGTAAAGTGTGTCGGAACCGATAAGCCAGAGGATGAGGGGAGCCACCAGCTGCTGCCCCACATACTGCTTCCGATGGCTTCACCTCTTGAAAGAGTTTTCTTTTTTGTAAATCTTTTTCTAATATTTTAAGCTGAAAATAAAGTTTATGAAAAGAACTAAAAAACAAACAAAACAATCTAAACTCTGGGAAAGGACTAGCATGGTTCTTCACATTCTCTTCCGCTTTCTCTGTTCTCCCTTACATCTTTCCATTTCCACCTCTCCCCATGTGTTCTTGCCTGTGGTATAGGCATTGCCTCCCTCCCCAGCAAGGCTCCCCAGCTGCCCCCCGCCCCATGCTAGGTGCCTCATTTTCCCCTCAAGCACCCTCTGTGCACTTCGATCCAGCACTTGATTCTCTTGTGTACGGGCCAGGTCTGCCTTGCTGTGTCTGTGTCTTTGGGTACCAGTCATGTAGTGCCAGATACGCAGTGGCCCCTCAGTAAGCATTGGTTGGACAGATGAAAGAATTATTTGGCTGATAATGTGTTTGTTGCTGTTTATTGCTATTAGTTGAGTCCCAGTCCTGGAGATCCCACCGGTACGCCGTTGGCCAGTGCTCCAGGGGGTTTTGAGGGACCTTCTAGATGCACATCCAAGCCTTTCTTCTGAGGTGCCACTGGGTGGATTTGAACTACCAACCTTTTGGATTAACTATTTCCATCAGCCAGCTGCCTTTATATGCCTAACTCACCCACTCACTGTTGAGTGTTGGTGGGTTTCCAGAGCTCTTAATTTAAATGAGAGGGGACTGCCTCACTGTCTCCCGCAGAGCTGCTGATAGATCCTAACCTCTGGAGATGCAGCCTTTGGTTAGCAGTGAAACATTGTACAGATTAGTTACTCTAACTCTGGTTTGTGTGCATTATGCACCAGCAGATGTGTTGGGCCTGGTCCCTTACCCACTGCTGTGACTGTTACTCCTGGTGTCCTCCCTCCTCACAAGCCTCAAGTCCCTGCTGCAGTACAGGGCACCACTGTTCAAGACCACCAGACCAGAAGACTGGATGTCCTCAGTGTTCTCTCACCATCACCCGCAAAGTCCTGGGGTTTTATCCCGCTGCTGTAGCTCTCCTGTCTGCCTCCCCTCGTCACTCTGCTGCACTACTTTTATTCAGGCCTCCTTCATTTTGCTGTTAAAAACAGCAGGGGCCTTGCTTCTGACCTGTCCACGCCCCTGCCCAGTGCTTCCTTCACACCAGGATGAGATATTTTGAAAATGTGAATCTGGTCAATTCACTGCCCTGCATAAACAAAGGATGATTGTGAGGAGGGGCAGGACTAGGCAGGTTTTCATTCTGTTAGACGTCATGTCCTTGTGATTTGACACCTAACAGCAACAATTTAAAATCCTGCACTGATGGCCCAGCATTCTCAGAGAAAAGTGTGTACTTCTTAAGTTAGCATCTATAGTGTGTCTCTCTTGTGCCTTGTTTCCTGTAACCAAGGTAAACTCTCCTTCTCTCCAGCTCCATCGATGAGGGTCCATACTCCTTGGTCTGTTTCCATCCCTGATCTGCTGTTACTTCTGCTTGAGATGCCCTGTCCTTTTGTTTACCTTTTACTTGAACTTCCTCACTTCCCCCAAGCATCTTCTCCTTTGGAAAGCTTTTCCTTGATCGCTTGCCAGGTGGAGGAGGTGCCTCTCTTCTGTGCTGAGTGCGTATCTTCCTGATTTTTATCACATCCACAGATTCAGTCATGGATTGCTTTGTTAGCAACAGCCTGTGTGCTGAGCAGTGGTTTTCAAGGCTGTGACCTTTCAGAAGCAGGTCTGTCTGCCGAGACGTTTCTGGGTGGAAACCACCAGCCTTTCAGCTAGCCGTTAAGTGCTTAACTGTTAGTGTCCCCGGGGACCCATCGTTCATCTATTAGCCACTCTTTACTTGTTTGGGGCTAGGTGCTGTTCTAGGTGCTGCAGATAGAGCAGACGGCAAGGGTGGTGAAGCTGTGTCTTGCATACTATGGGCGTGTTGCTAGGAGAGCTGTTTCTTAGAGAAGAGCATCATGCTTGAAAAGGTGGAGGGACGGTGAAGGAGAGGAACCCACTCAGTCAGATGAATTGGGACAGTGACTGCAGCAGTGGGCTCGTGTATGTCAGAGATTGTGAGGATGGCACAGGATAGGACAGAGCTCTGATCTGTTGTTCATAGCATCACTGTGAGTCATACTCAACTTGGTGGCGTCTAATGATAACAATCAGGAAGCATCCTTTTACGGGACTTATGTCATATTGTAGTAATTGATCCATCTGGTCATCACCCGATTGCAGCAGAAGCTCCTCCAGGGCATGAAGCTAGTCCCTGCTGTGGCGGCCCTCAGTCCCGCAGGCTTCGCAGCCCCATCCAGAATCCTCTCTCTCAAGGCTTGTGCAGAGTCCTGAGTTGACAGTCTTACCAGGCTAACTTCCTCCACCCCCACCAGGCTGCTCCTTTTTCAGCCAGAGCTTTGCACTCCCCTCGGCCATCATTGTTGGCAGGCTTGTTTAATAGTGACAGGACATAGGGTCACACTGGTGGGGTCTGGGCCCTGGAGGTGACTCTGGATAGGGTCCCAGTCTCTCTCGCTCTCTGTCATGTACAGGGTTCGAGTCTCCTGCAGGGCCCGCCCCATCGCCCTCAGCTCCCCCCGCACCTCCATGGCAGGGCCGTAGCATTGCCAGCTCCAAGCTCTGGCTGTTGGAATTCTCTGCCTTCCTGGAGCGCCAACAGGACCCTGACACGGTAGGTCCCACCTCTCCTGCCCTCTGCTCATTTCTCTGACTCCTGCTCCCATGCCTTCCCTACACTTCTTTTCTGCATGCTTCTAGGTTTCTTGTCTTACTTGTCTCCTCTACTTTCGGGTTTAATTTACGGTCCCTGGTTTTTCCAAGGAGCTCTGGGCGGACAGTGGTGATTAAGCTCCTGCAAATGAAAAGTCGGTGGTTTGAACCCACTAGTCACTCTGCGGGAGAAAGATGTCACAGTCTGCTTCTGCGAAGGTTATGCTGTCCTGTGGGGCAGTTCTACTCTGTCCTGCAGCATCTCTGAGTGGAATCCACTCATCGGCAGGAGGTTTGGTTAGTTTGATCGTTTACAGCGTGTCCTTTTCTTGCTCTTTCCTCCAGCACTTTGCCTCCCTCTCCCCGTCTCACCTTCTTTCTCTCTGTTGTCCTGTATATTCCTCCAGTTTCAGTGCGCTCCTGTGATTGCTCTGCTCATCCCTCAGACATTCCTTCTTTCCTCATCGATCGTTTTCCTTTGTCTCTCAGCTTTATGTCTTCCCCACCAGGTCCTTTCCTCTCAACCCATCCACTGTTTAGTTTCCAGTCTCCCATTTCCCAGCCCCACCCCAGGCTGTTCCCTCCCTCCCCCTGACTGAGGAGACTCCTGTGCCCAGAATACGTTGGATAAGATGCCAGCAGGCATTGGTAGCCCCACCTCATTCCATCCCCTTCAGCTTTAGTGTCCTGGGTGACTATAATGTCACCTACAAAGGCCAACAGTCACCAGGAGGCAGGCAGGATGTCAGAGATCATCTCGCTCTGACATTTTCCATTTTATGTTTTTAGTGGAGGAGCCCAGTCACCAAGCTTAGTCTGTAAGACGAAAGAAAGTAGAGCTCCTTGGGATGTAACAAGGTGTTTGGGAACCCCCTTTTGGTCCCTGTCTTCAAGAGTAAAGCACAGCTTGAAAATACCTTATCTAGGTCAGAGGTCTTGCATTGCAAGTGAGAAAGTGGAGCCTCAGAGATACACAGTGACTCTCATCTGAGGGCGTAAACATCAAACCTAAACCAAACCCCTTGCTATCAAGTTGATTCTGACTCATGGCAATGTTCCATCAAGTTTTTGGTCTGTAAATCTTTATGGACAGACTCCCCATCTTTCTCTCTTGGAGCGACTGGTGGATTTGAACTACCAGCCTTTTGGTGAGCATTGCAACATATGACACATTTTGCCACCAGAGTTTCCTGTCTTAGGGCTTAAGGATAGGAAATTAACGACTACAAGTCACTGAACACCTACTAGGTGCCAGGGACTATACTGAAAGCTTTTTAGCAGTAGAGGCTCCAGATCATGTGCCAGATATAGGCTGCAGCTGGACTGGTTTGTTCTGGCTGTTTGCTCTTCTATACCTACCTACCTCTCACTCAGACCCACCCTTCTCTCCACAGTACAACAAGCATTTGTTTGTACACATTGGCCAGTCAAGCCCAAGCTACAGTGACCCCTACCTCGAAACCGTGGACATCCGCCAGATCTATGACAAATTCCCAGAGAAAAAGGGTGGACTCAAAGAACTCTTTGAACGGGGACCCTCCAATGCCTTTTTTCTTGTGAAGTTCTGGGTAAGCCCTTTGATACCTTCTCTCTTCTACCCCCAGCACATCCTGATGGTGAAGAAAGCACAAAAGCAGGCATAAGGCACCCCCTTTCCGGTGTGGAAATGGGGCAGGACCAATGAGGAAATAAGGAACAGGAACAGAGTTGAAATCCAGTCTTAGAAGCTGAAGGAGACTGCTGTAATGTAGGCCACGCAGGGGGCTCAGCTACTTAACACATTCCTCAGCCTCATTGCTATTAAATTCACGCCGGGTGAGATTGCCCATCCTTCTCCCTTGGAGAAACCAGTGGATTTGAACCATCTGCCTTTGAATTGGCAGCACAACTGTTAATCCCCTAAGCCATCAGAGCTCACTTTATTGTGTCGAGCCAGAAGTGACTCATGGCTGACCCCCTAGCAAGTTTTCAGAGGCAGTAAATTGCACAGGAGTTGATTGCCCATCTTTCTCTCGTGGAGCAGCTGGTGGATTTGACCCACATGCCTTTGGGTTGACAGTGCTGTTTTACCAGAGCTCACTTTAGGACATCAAAAAAGATGTGCTTTGGGGAGTGTGGTATGAGGCAAGAAGCTGTCCTACATTTTTTTAAGGAAGGGCTTAAACTTTTCATTGCTGTCTTCCTCTTTACACACTTCCTTCCAGCCTTGGGCATTGGAATTGGAAACAGCAGGCTTTGCTACGGGCAGCCGGTCAACATTGACACTGCAGCCAAAAATAGCAATGCCTTATTCCCACAGAGTCTTCTGGGCCCTCCCTGGGAAGGCACTGGGCGGGGTGGGGAGAAGCCACAGCATTTCTTGAGCACCTTTGCCTGCTCCCCCTGAACACACACAGAGTGCGTCCAGACTTGACCCTCCTCCAGAAAAGGAGCTTAGGTGAGGTGATATATCGCTCTGCTTTCAGCACTGAACTCCAGTACCTTGAGAACACTACATGGGGCCCTAGGGAGACCTGTCTAACAGGAGGTACTTCTCTGAGTAGCACAAGAGTTTGCACTGGACACCTTAGAAGAGAGAACCTGTCATCTGCTTTCATAAAAATTATAGCTGAAAACCCTGTGGAGAAGTTCTGTAACACAGTCACCGTGAGCTGAAATCTGTGCTACAGCAATGAGTTTGGTTAAGTTTGGTTTTTGGTTAAGTTTATCTTCTGTTCCATTCATGTGCATTGTGTTTTACAGTCATTTACACTGTCATACAGTCATTCATAGACACTATTTTGTGTACTTAATTACCATTGATCTGGTTAGGTGTTTTGTCCTGGGATGGGGCAGGTGGCCTATTGGTCACTTTTTGTTAGTTCCTGCCCTCTCTTAGCTGTGTCCTTGTAGCCGCCATCCAGATGAGGACCATCCTAGCCTCTGATCTCACAAATAGGAGCCTGAGGCAGGGTGAGACGTCTCCCTGTGATCGTTCCTATTAGATACACATTTTGTACCAGTTGATGGCCTTGTTCTGTGGAGCATAAACTGAGGCAAAGAAAAGTCAGATGATTTGTTAAAGCTCATCCAGTTCATAGTAGTTGAGTCAGGACTGAGAACTGGGTCCTGGACTGTCCCAGACAGCCATTAACCCTACATCATCTTACCTTGAAAAGTATCTGGGTGGCCTCTGCACAGGTGCTGGCACTGTCCCCAATGTTGCAGGGGAAATCTCTGGACTGACTGACTCCCCAAGATCTTTCTCTCTGGGGATTCATTCCCTAAGTCCTGAATCCCCATGGTCAGCCTCTGGATTGAAGGATCCCCAAGCTGCTGACAAATAACAGTGTTTGCTTGGAGAACTTGCACCGGACTCTGACTGTGGAGACAGTTAAGCAATTGGGTGTCTTGGGTTTTCTAGGTTTCAGGCTTCCCTTTGGGAAATGAACAAAGTCCTGGGGATCAAGGTTGGCAGGTAGAAAGGAAGAATTAGGAGGTCTGTCTCTCTAACCTTGTTGTGGCCTGAGTTGTAGTCTTCTGATTCCTTGGAGCAGGTAGAAGTGGATAGACAGGGGCGAAGGGAAGGTAGGGCTAGTCAGGTGTGTGATCTGTGTGTGGCTTGCTGGGCTGGGCTCAGGCTGTGTGTTGTGCACACCATGGGTGTTTGTGGGAGCTCCATTCTGAGGAGAATCCAGGATAGAGCTCGGGTTCCTGGGCCAGTGTGCGATACAGCTGGGGCGGGGGGCCGCACACGCTGGACTGTTAGGATACTGTGCATCCAGGGAGGACAGGGAGAGTAGCTGGAGCATGAGGCTCTGATCTTGGTCCTACCACATGTGGACCAGAACCCAGAGCACATGGCCACTTCTGTGAGCCTCTCCTGTATGATGTAAGCTGTTTGTTCAAGGGGTCTGCCTGAGGCTGTGTCCATAAGACCCTTTCATATGTTTGGTAAGCTGGCAGTGCCAGGAGGCTCTGCCCTTGCCTACACCTGAGCCCAGAGAACCAGGCCCTCTCCTGCCAGAGACACGGGCAGGGTGAGGGCGGGTGAAATCGGAGTTGGGAGAATGTCAGGGCAGGGCCCCTTGGCCATCATTTGCTTCCTCCTCCTCATGTGTGGGGAGGGCAGAGACACCAAAGAAATGCAGACTTGCAGTGTGGGGGGAAAATGGACCTTCATGTTTGCTATGGAGATTCAGGGCAGTCACGGGGTACTCCACATCCCACACCTACCCCCCAGCTTCTGAAAACTGTCTCTGTTCTCTGGCCTGATCACACCTCCTCTGCCATCAGCTTGTGTGAGCTGGCCACACAAAGTTAGGAAGGACGACCACTTGGGCTAGGAAGTAATGGTTCCTCTCCGAAAGCCAGCCTTTCACCTCCTGCCTGCCTGTCTTCCCGATCCCCACTGCTGGGCCTTGACTGTACACGCTGAGGGTAGACCAGAACCCTTTTAGAACTGGAGGAGGGCTGTGATGTCCCACTGAAAGCTGTTGTTCTTATTGTTGGAATTGGGCAGTCATTCATGGCATCAGACTGTGGACTCTGAGGCTGGACCCCGTGTGGGGAGGGCTGAGGGCCTGCACAGGGCCCTGAGAAACCACATCCCCTCATAACTGCCCAAGCACCCTGGGCACGGCACAGGGACTGGGGACTCTTGGACAATGAAAGCAGCACATGGGGAGTGCTGGGTGGAACCTGGGCTGTGGCTGTCGGGGGGAGGAAAATGCCCAGACCGCCTGCTGTTTCCTCCTGGGCCCTGACATTTCTTCCAGGCACATACCAGCACATGACAATGAATCTGAACCCCTCCAGGCCCCCACGCCCGCCTGAGCCCCCACGCCTGCGGCTGTCTCAGCTCATCTGTCAGTCACCCGATCCCCAACACCTGTTCAAGGCACAGCCTGTGAGCTGCCCACCCGCACGCACAGCTATGAATAGGGTAAAGGGAGGGAGCATGGGGCATTCAGAGGGCAGAAGGGCAGGTGCGGGGCCTCTTGGGCTGAGAAAGAAGAAAAGCAAAGCTTGTTTTGGGGGTGGTTGGTAGAGTAGGAAATGCCTGAAGTTTAGCCTAAAGGCAAAGGGTGAGGTTGAAATGAGAAAGATCAGGCCTGAGGATGAGATGAGAGGTGCTGGGTTGTCTCTGTCACTGGTGGGTGTCTCTAGGAGGGTGAGTATTGTCACTACCAGTCAGGCTCTGGGCCTGACTTTGGGTCTTCATTTTTAGACTCCCTCACTGTATCCTCAGCCACTTTTATTCCCGTTGCTCCACATCCTGCTGGTTATAAATTCCCCAAACCTCTGTTGAACTGCCTAGGAGTGTTGAGCTGGGCCTGCGTGAGTGTGGGGCTGAGTGACTAGAAGGGCCTGGTGGGTGGGAGGTGGTGACAGGACTTGGGAGTGTGTGTGAGATGGGGCGAAGCTGGTGCCCTGCACACCCTGGCCAAGTTAGGGATTCTAGGTTCCTCCTCTTATTCTGCCTCTACTTCTTGTGACCACGAGGTCTCTGTGTTCTCACTTAGTGCCACCTACAGGTGAAAGGTTGAACAGCAAGATGGAACCTACATTGAAGGCCTTCCCTGTACCATGTATTGCCAAGGCTCCACGGAGACAGGACAGACTAGCTTCTATAAAGACTGACAGCTTATGGGGTCGCTATGGAGCAGAAGCGATTCAACTCTTCAGTAGTTTGGTTGATTTTAACGACTAGACCAGGAATAGCAGGGCAGTGCACACAGTGTACATCAGACCCACTACTTTCAGTGATTCTGACTCATCAAAGTTCTTACTTCCAAGAAATGTAGGATCTGCAAGGCCACGTGAGCAGGTTGTGATAGCATAGAGTGATGCAAATCGCTCTGGGAGCAGTCTGTCTGGTATAAGCTTTCTTTTAGGTGCTACATGAATACACGCTTTTTCTTTAGTAATTATGACATTATTTGCATGCATTTTAAAAGATGTGATTCTTGATTTCATGTGTGTATTTCTTAGAAGAATGTCATGTTAAAGAGTAAAAGAACGTTGACTTAAACTTTAGGTGCGAAGGAAGACATGTGGTCATGATGTAGCATTAATCAGGAAGGGACTTGGGGTGAAGCCCAAATGCTTGTTTATATGCCCTGCTCTCAGCCTGTGGTACCCACATTCACATGCAGTCCAGATCTGTCCTGTGCTTCTGGCTGTGGGGCTTCCTGAGCTTGCAAACTGTCCCCCAGACACTATTTAGGGAATTGTCTCTCTGACAAAGTAAGTTTCCTAGGAGGGAGGAGAGGGTGATTTAGTAGAGAAGGATGAGGCCGCAGTTGACTTTGTATTCAATAGGAAGACCTTGGACCACGTTCATTACTCTTGAGTGACCCCATGTGTGTTCGTGTAAAACTGTGCTCCAGAGATTCCAGTCACTCCTTGATTTAGAAGTCTATCGGCTGTTCATCCGAGGTAGCTCTGGGTGGACAGAAACAGCAAGCTTGCTGCTAGGAGCCTTTCACACTGTGTGCACGCCCTGCTACTCCTGGCCTAGTCATTAAAACCAACCAAACCACTGAACAACCAAATCACTTCTGCTCCCTAGTGTCCCCATGATATTCTCAAAGCTGTAGATCTTTATAAAAGCCACTAGTTGGTGGATTCAGACCATCAGTCTTTCTGTTTGAAAGATGGTGCAGACCATCAGTTTGCACCCAAGTGTTTTAACCACTGCTCCATCAGAGCTCCTAGGCTAGATACGCTACAGTTAATTCTTAGTTTAAAAAAAAATAAAATTGCATTTCCTTCATGATGGCCTCCCTAATGCCAGTCCAGAGCACGCTAAAGCATGCTATTCTGTTTCAGCATAGAAACAGCTGTTTATGGTACTGATCCTAAAACTTAACCTTTTTTTCCCCTCACAAGGCAGTATGTTATAGTTATTCCAGGAAAGACTATAAAAGTCCTTCTCAACTTTATTTTTGGCTCCATAATGCCATAATGTTCTCCTTTTTTTCAGGTCATAAAACAATTAACGTCTTCCCCCACCCTCCGCCACCCCAGTGCTAGTCTAGAGAATGTTTGTTTGCTCCTGGAAAAAGTATTTCCCCAAAGGCAGAAAGAGCAATGACTGTACTTTCCCTAACGCCAGTGATGGGACTGTCCGGTGCTGGCTGAATAGTTCTTGGACCTTCTGGGGCTCCCTTATCTGTGCAAGAGAGTCCTACTGAAGTCCCAGAACCTTCGTCGAGGCCTGGAGCCCCACTGCATTTAGAAGTCTGTGCTTGGTGCTTGTGGCCTGGAAGGGTAAATATTGAATTACCAGTCTTTAGGTTGGTAGTTTGAACACACCTCGCGGCTCCTCAGAAGATGGGCCTGGGAGCTGCTTCTGAAACTGAGTTCCCACAAATTGACATTAACTCGATGGCAACTAACAATAACAGTGCTGGCTCAGCTTGGCAGTGTTTTGGGAGCAGTGTGGGTGGGAGGAGAGGCTTAGCTCTAAGAATAAGCCTATTGTGGTATGTCTGCATTTCTTCTGAATCCTAAGCTGCTCTGTTTGAGTGTCTGCCTCAAATGGGATAGTTGTACTGGGGCCTCCTCCTGAGGCCAGGGGTTTATAAGTAGTCTTAACAAAACACCAGGCCAACTGCTGTCAGTGATTCTGACTCATCAAGACCCTACGGGGCAGATGCTCCCAATGCCGGAGACCTTTACAGATGCGGACCACCGTGTCCTGCCATGGAGTCAAAGGACTGACTTCTCTGTTAGTGCTTAATCCACTGCAAGTGATTTATCGTCTTTAAAACTACAGAACGCCCACTTGTCACATGTGATGTCTTCCTCCCTGTTCCTCGTTGCCACTCTTTTGGGTTAGAATATGCCCTGGAGGTAAAACCCAAGGACCCTAAATAAGTTACTTACTTAATAGCTGTGTCATGTTCAACAAGGTCCAGGAGAGCCTCCCTGGTAAAATGGAGACTGATTCCTGCTCAAGCCCTCTCACAGGGCTGTGTGAAATCATCACAGAGCCTCGGTCCACCTCTTCTAGCTGGTATTGATAAAATTCCCATCAGTCCAGCATTCTGCCCTCTGGCTCTACTCTCAGCAGTAGAAGGAACAGGGGCAGGTGTGGGGTGTAGTGAGAGGCTCAGGCAGGTCAGCATGGGTCCGTGAAGGACTTTGTGAGCCAGCCGGGACCCAGCGTATTAACCTTTGGTGAGTAGCTAGGCTCACCGAGCAATTTGATTAGACCTCTGTGAGGAGGACTCTGGGCTGTCCAAGAATGAGCCAAAGGAAGCCAAGACTAGCATTGGTGAAATTCTGGAGGCGGTTGGAGATGCCGTTTTAGGATGGCTGGGCTCAGCAGTGACAAAGAAATGGGACAAGAGGTCAGTCAGAAGCATTCTAGATTGATTGGCTGTGGGGACCACTTGGACCAGAAAACTGAGAGAAGTTTGGTGACACCAGGGTCCCTTATTTTACCTTTCTAGCTTTCTGTTTTCAAACTTTACTTGCAAACATGACTAGAAACCTTCTGGTAAATTCATTCATAAAAGTAGAAATGACTAATACAGATTCAGATGTTTGCTATTTAAGAGAAGTCTAAGACTGTAAACCTTGAAGTCCTAAAGACAGTAGGTGTGTTGGCATCTGAGTGGCCACAATTTTAATGCAGATCTTAATGTTTTCTTTTCCTGTTGATTGGGTAACACAACTTGGTGAGTATACCAGGAAAATTAAAAGCTTTCCAAGTTCTGTTCTGTTGCCTCCTGTTCTCAGCCCAGCCCAGGACCCTGGACTGTGACCCAGAGGCCTGTTTGATGCTGACCTTTGATGGGGCATCTGCTGATATATCTGACCACTTCCTTGGCCTCCCCGTCTCTATCCAGGCAGACCTCAACACCAACATCGAAGATGAAGGCAGCTCCTTCTATGGGGTCTCCAGCCAATATGAGAGTACCGAGAACATGATAATCACCTGCTCCACCAAGGTCTGCTCTTTCGGCAAGCAGGTGGTGGAGAAAGTTGAGGTAGGGGCCTATCAGTATTGGGGGTTCGACCTGGGCAGTTCCTCTAAGGCTCAGAGTGGCCCCGTGAGAGGTGGCTGCTGTGGCTTCTGTCCTCTTCCAGGGAGAACGATCTCCAGCTGCCTGACCGCCAGTCAGCCTTATTTTTTCTCTCGTTAGTGGTAGACCCTTTAGTTCCGCTTCCGTACCCCTCCACCCCTACTACACATCCCAGGCTGGCAGTGCATCTTCGAGCACCTTCTTGAAGGCATCCTCTTGTCCGTGGTACCCAAAGATAAGAAAGTGGTCCCAGGTCGCAAGGCTAGCCAGTGACAGAGGTGGAGCTGCTCTGTCAGTTTAATCAAAATCTATGGGAGAGAACAGTTTTTAAGCAATTCTTCTAGTTTGTTGTTGGTTTGGTTAGTTGGTTGGTTGGTTGCTTAAACTCTTTAAAAAAGTTTGATATAGTTATAGATTCCACTTGTTGTTATGTGCCATTGAGCCACTTGCGACTCATAGCGACCCTATGTACAGCAGTCCTAAACTCTGCTCTGTCCTGTGCCAATCGCACTGCCTCTGACACTCCCATCCTGATTACCCCAGTCACTGAATCAATCCACCTCATAGAGGGTCTTCCCCTCCTGCACCTGCCCTCCACCCTCCTAAGCATGATGTCCCTCTCCAAGGACCTGTCCCTCCTTACAACATTTCGAAAGTATGTCAGACGAAGCTCCAGAATCCTTGCCTCCAAGGAGCAGCCTGGTTTAACCCTCTGCAGGATGAATCTGTTTGTTTTCTTGGCAGTCCATGGTACATTCAATACTCTTCTCCAGCACCACAGCTCAAAGGCATCAATTCTCCTCCTATCCTTCCTAGTCATTGTCCAACTCTCTGATGCATAACAAGTGATTGCAAAGATCATAGCCTGTATCAGACGCACCTTAGTCTCCAGAGTGACACCATTGCTCTTCAGTACCCTGGAGAGGTCCCTAACAGCCAACTTTCCTATTGCAATATGCTTTTTTATTTCCTGGCTGCTTGTGCCAAGAGTATTGACTGTGGAGCCAAGCAAACTAAAGTTGTTAACAATCTCAATCTCTTCACCATCTATCCTGATGCTGCCAATTGGTCCAGTGGTGAGAATCTTTGTCTTCTTGACATTGAGCCTCATAGAGAGAGTCCATGTACCCGGTTCCCCAGTGATAACATCTTGCCTACCTGTAGTGTAATATTATGACCAGGAAATCACTATCAATATTGTCCACCAATGTTACTCTGATTTCACCAGTTTTACAAGCCCCTCCTCCCCATACGTAGGGTATACACGTGTATTTGTGTAATTGCCATCACAGGAAGGCAGTTGGATCACCACAGAAAACCCTTGGCCTATGTTTTTTTTTCTACGTGTCACTTTAATGTGCCATCAGGGTTGAGCGCCACCTCCTTCTCAAAGTCAGTTTCCACATTGTCACCATGGAGGAGAGAGACCTTACTTAGTATTTTCCAACCTGGAAGGGAAGCTGTGTTCTCAGGGGCTCCAGGCTTCCTGCGTTTTATTCCTATTACAGCACTTGGGTCATAGAGTGTCCTTATGGAGTTGGGCCTATCCTGGAGGTGGTCAAAGGGATTCTAAGCTCCTGCTGTCCTCTGCGCCTACAGACAGAGTATGCCCGCTATGAGAATGGCCACTACCTATACCGCATCCACCGCTCCCCGCTCTGTGAGTACATGATCAACTTCATCCACAAGCTGAAACACCTGCCCGAGAAGTACATGATGAACAGCGTGCTGGAGAACTTCACCATCCTGCAGGTGCGTGTCGGGAGGATGTATGCTGCGGGTGATGCTGCGGGTGTAGCATGGGAGTTGACAGGTGGATGAAGCACATGGCATGCCCTCTTCTGGGATCTGAAGCCTCTTCTTTTTGTCACTTTCAGGTGGTCACCAACAGAGACACTCAGGAGACCTTGCTGTGCATCGCCTATGTCTTCGAGGTGTCGGCCAGCGAGCACGGGGCTCAGCACCATATCTACCGGCTGGTGAAGGAATAGACTCGGGTGGTAGGGACAGGAGAAACGTGTGTGCAGGAAGTGGGGCTACGGGGAGGGGACCTGCAGGGGCAGCTGCCTGAAGTGCCAGCAGTCTTGAGAGAAGAGGTCTTACTCTTCCAAGGAGCCGAGTACGCCTGAACCTGCAATGCCTCCCCCCAATAAACCCACCATGCTGTGTATTTTTAGAAGACCTCGTCTGGCTGTATGAGCCTTAGGAGGGACTGGGGAGACATGTCGGGGAGAAGGGTGGGGCAGTCAGGAGCAGACAGGCAGGGTACAGCACCCCGGAGATGCCTCCCGGCCAACAGTGAAGCCACCACCCCAGTGGGCTCAGCCAGGAACATTGGCGCCAGCGTGGAAGCTCAGGATGTGATGCGCCCGGCGGCTGCTGCTGCTTGTCCAGCCGCCCTGCAATCTGAGGACTGCATGTGGACTCCTTGTTCTATTGTCCTGCCTCCTGTGCACCCACAACTACATGCACGTGATGGCGTCCACTCGCCTGTCTGCCAGGACACTAACATAGGAGGCCTGGTCCAGCATGGGGCACGGGTTACATGGAGGGGGGACAGGTTGTTTTGAAAGCTAGAAGGGAATGCAGAGCTCTACTTTTTATCTGTCTCTGATGAGCATGGATTCCACAGCCAGTGTCTTTCCCAGTGGTGACCATGCCGGCTTGTCAGGAAATTGGTCTCGGTCAGAAGAGACCATGGCAGGGTAGCAGGAATTAAAGGTGTGGAAGCCAGTCTCTGGTAGCACTGTTACTGTGAGGAAGGCCAAGAACATATGTGAGAGGTCTGTGGGGGGCCAGTGGTCTCTTGAGACCTCAGTTCGGGTGTTGTGAGCCGAATTTCAGATGCCTCCGAGCCATTGTGCCGGTTGAGGAGGTGACTTCCCTGGAGCGGACCCCAGCAGTCTCACTGCTTTCCCAAAGAGCAGTTCCTGGGCAGGCTAAGGATGGAGGAGGAGGCGGTAGGACCCACACTGCCCCCAGAGTCCACCAACCAACAGGGTTCTCCTACTTAATTTTCCTAATTCTTTCACCTGTCTGAGCCTTCATGCCCTTTCACCTGTGAAGTGGAAAGGCAGTAGCACCTGCCTTGGAAGGATATATTGAAGCAGTGATTGTTACATGCCATGAAATCAGAACCGACTGGCTCTCCAGAAAGTTTTCAGAAGCTATAAATTGCATGAAAAGAGATTGCCTCTCTTTTTCTTGTGGAGAGGCTCGTGCATTCGAACCTCTTGCCTTTGGGTTGACAGTGCAGCTCCTTACCCCAAAGGCACCCGAGCTACCTAGTGAGTGAGGGAGATAATGTCTATGAAGTGCCTTGTGCAAGAGGCAATATTACCAGCACGCTCACCAGAGGCTGGCTCTTTGTTGCCACCTAGTGGCTCTTTGGTAATTTTCGTTTCTTTCATATTTTTAATCTCTCTAACCATTTGCCAACTAGTTGGTTCCAACTCTTGTGTATCAGAGTAGAACTAGCCTCCATATGGTTTTCAATGGCGAATATTTTGGATGCAGATCTTCATGGTTTTCAAAAGGGTGGACTTTTGATTAGTGTCTGGACACATTAACCACCCAGGGACTCTCTTTTCCATCATAGGAACTAGGGAAGGGTGGGTCCAGCAGCAGGGGGCAAAGCTCCGCCCCGCACATTACTGCAAGGATTGGAACCCTGGTGCTCTACTGACTTTGTGACATGTGTCACTGTGCCTTGGTTTCCCCATCTCTGAAATGGATGATGCAGTAGTACCTACCTCATATGTGTAGAGTACCTAGTGCAGTGCCAAGTTCCTAAATGAGTTTACTAAATAAAAGCTATTTTTAATATTACAAGATTATAGCAGTCAGCTGAAAGACTACTAAGTGGGCTGTGCTGAGCCTCAGAGCAGCGGGCCTTCCAGGATGGCGTAGGATATTGGAGGTGGGGGTTAGAGGCGAAATTAGCCCTTGAGGGGAGCTGGCTCTTAAATGATGGCAAATTTAAGTGAGCAAACAGAAGCAAGCTCGTCCGCATTCCAGATGGGGAATGAAGTAGGCCATCGTGGTTCCCTCAGCAAGAGATAGCTTTCACCAGACCCCTGAGTCCTGGGGCCCATGCTAGACCTCAGGCCACTCTGCATATCCCCCACGTCTGGACACCCAGAGATGTTGTGATATGGAAACAGGCATGGCCCCAGGGAGTATCCAGGTATGACGCTGATAGTGTAAGGCCCCTGATCCTTTCCCTGTCACCACCATGGTCCTTGTCTCCTTTCTGGGTTGGCTGTGCAGTGATGGTGAGGCTTAGAAGACACGAGGGCACACATTAAAGAAGCACTCTGTCTTATGTCGTGAATGAGCGAGGCGGTCTGCACAGATTTTGGGCTCAGGCATTGACTGTGAGTTTCCCCTTCTCATCATGAACTGACCTCTGCAGCCTAAAGGAGAGTCCCCTGTTTACAGGTGTGATTTCAGAGCCAGTGTAGTACAGGCCATGGCTCTTGGGACAAATGGGGATGCTGACCTCGCCTTCCCTCCATCTTCCCTGCCAGTCCTTGTGTTTTCCCTCTCACTGGCTACTCTCGAGGCCCTTATTGTATCCAGTACATCTTCCTTACCGCTGGGCTTTGGCACTTTGGCACTGCATGTTCTCTTGTGCAGTGGTGTTCTTCCCCCCACCCTGGTGATCTCCTGCTCGTTCTTTAGAGCCAGCTGGAAGTCACATCATCTCATGCAGAAGGATTTGTGGAGTCCAATGTTGATATCCCCTTAGAGCACGTTTTACCTGTTCCTGAAGACACCTGCCCCTATGATTTCTCACAACATGACAGATAACAGTTTTTAAAGGTGAGGAAAGATACAGAGAGGTCCATTAACTGGCCACAATTATTAAAGCGGTCATTTCTTTTTAACTTACACTTTGTGTAAAGCTTTGGGACTGTATCAGTGACCAAGATGGATGTGGTCAAGCAAGCAAATAAGACAAGTGCAGACTGTCATGAACCTTGTAAATAAAATTGGCAGGGCCTGAGGCTGAGAGTCAGCCAGGAAGGAAGCTGCCGCGTTCAATAGCAGGGCCAGGAAGGCCTTTCTCATTTGCCATCCGAGCCGAAACCTGAAGGATAAGAAAGACTGACTGTAGGTGGGGTGGGGGAAAGGTACTCCAGGTGAGGGGGTGGCGGGTCCTGGCGGCAGGAAGGTGAATGTTGTTTCTCAGGTACAGAAAAGAGACCTGTGTCTGCAGTATGAGGGGAGGAGAGAGTCGTGCTTGAGCTGTCTTGTTGAGGAAGGCAGGGCTAGATTGTGCACACTCGGAGAAGGAATTTTGAGTTTTATTTCATGTGATGGGAGATCCTTGGAATACTTCCAGCAAGGGAGTAAGTTTTTCTTGAAAACAACTCCCCAGCTCTGTAGGCAGCAGAGAAGCAAGTGTCAAGTGTCCGCTTCTGAGTCTGCCTTTCCTCCTTGACTCAGCTTCTGGTGAAGGCTGAAGATTTCCTGGCTCTGATACTTTGTAAATTGAACACCAGGTCTGGAGCCCAGCAGAGACTTGGTAAACATTGGATGCAGGAATGTGCGGTTTGTACACGGCAGTGAGATGCCAGTCATCTGTGCCTGTGAGCTGGGGTCCTGAGCCCACGAGGTAGAGTGACCTTAGCAAGTGTGAGCTGGCCGGCGGGGCTGTTGAGGTGAGAGCAGGGAAGCAGGCAGCTGGTCTCATGGACTCCTGTGATGACTGAGCACGTTGTGCCCAAGGGCCACTAGTTAACTGTCAGAGCATGCCATGTCCTCTTCACAAGAGAGAAACCCACTAGGAGTTTGTGTGTGTGTGTGTGTGTGTGTGTGTGTGTGTGTGTAGACACAGAGTAGAGCCAGGAACACGAGGAAACACAGCTTTGGTGGTTGACCTTGTCCTAGGCTTTCCAAGTACTGTATGTGTCTGGTCCAGATGCTTGGACTGTGAGGTTCAGAGGACATTGGGGACAGCAGACAGTGTGGTCAAGGAGACTGGAGGTGGAAGTGTAAGCAGAGGTGGTCAGCAGAGGCTGTGTGTGTAGGCTTTGTTGGCCAGCTCTTGCTCTCTGGGGGACATCTCCCCGAAAAGGAGAAATGCAAACACAGAATGTGTTTGATTTTACCTCCGGGACAGTCATCCCCCATGGTCACTTGACTTCTTAGCATTATGTGTTATGTTAGCTCTGGGATGAAAGCAAGAAGCTTCTCCCCAAAGAATGAAGTCTTTGTATGTTCTTAAGACCTTCAAACATGGAGGCAAGCTGATCTAGAGCTGAACTCTGACAGGCAAATGGCTTACCTTCTCAGAACCTTAGTAACCTCATTGTGAAATTGCTTCAGTTTCAGAGCGCTTTGGAGATGAAGAAAGGTAGTAGAACCTCCTCCCCTGTTCTCATGTGCCCATGTAAACGTGCACAAGGGGGTTGAACAGTTGGCAAAGAAGCCATATATCCATGTGCCTTATTTTTTTTAAAAAACAGTATCTATGAAGAAGACTTCACTCATGGTGAGTGCTCAGAAAAGATTAATAACTCAGGTGAATCGACTTCCTGACCTACAGTTTTTCCCACCCCTAAGATACTTACAACCTCACACAGACTTCTTTTCAAGAAACCCTCTCGTTTCAGCCCATGAGATGAGGAAGGCGTTAGTGAGCGTGTCCACTGCCCAGCACAGAAATAATGCCGCTCAGAATGGGGAGGGCCAAGCTTTTCAATTGGGGATGTAGTGTGATGGTCCATTCAGAGCGAGGAGACAAGCCCTTGGGAAGGTTGTAGAAAGAGGGCTAACCTACTCTGAACCAGAAATCCTCAGGAATTTGGTTTCTGTTTTACTTGGGAGAGAGGAGGGGAGGGATGGTCACAGCAGGCTGGAGCCCAGTGGGTGGCGATGGCTACAAGTCTCTAAGCTCTCGGATGTCTAACATTTAAGTGTTTGTATTTTGCTCTGTAACCCCCCTCCATCTCTCCAGATCTTCAGTAAACTCTGATGTGTACAGAAACCTTTGTTTGCGTGCTTTCTTTGTAGGGACATGAAAGAGTTTCATACATGTCTACAGCACAGAGCCTGCAGCTGTAAATTGGAGTCACAGAGGTGAGACTGTTGTAAAGGGGATGAGTCAACACCAGCAGGCGCTTGAGACCACCAGGAGCTGCCCACCTCCTCCCCCAAATCCCTTTGT